TGTACAGGATTTAGATCAAAAAGAAGAATTACCTGATAGTGACAGTTGTTGAATATTGGCAGTAGGTTTCCAGAAGGTGCTGTGAAATCAATTTCCATCAACATAGTTCTTTCAAAAATGGGATATTATCTTATTTGTCCAAGATGTCCCAGGAGGCAGAATGATCAGTTTTCAGGACCTTGGATAGGGACTGGCCCATAACGCAAGGGATGTATCATCATGGAGGGAGCCTAAACTACCAAAGAATACCAATAAAGGGATATAAGCATGAAATAAGGCAGAGATTAAGGGAGTCTAGAGCATAAGACTAGTGAATCTTTGAAAGTAATACTGTTCCTTCTTTAAGGAAAGTGAAGAAATATCTACCTATTTTCCGTGTATAAATGTTTCCCCTCATATAACTGAGGTGTACATACGTAGGGATTAGATATGTTGAATGCTGTTGTTTTACCAAGATAATTTATGAAGATGCAATAACAGGATTTGGACTTCTTTCAACATAATGGCTGAAGTGTTATTTTAGCCACCAAATGGAGTTTAGATTGTTTCTTAAATATATCTTCAACATTTTAAGAGTAGAAGAAACAACAATCAATATAAAGACTAGCCTTAAGTGCCTCCTTTTTGCTATGATGACAGTTCATACAGGTGATTATGAAATGCAAGACAATTTTATTTCATAGCTTGTTTGCTCAGTGTAACTTACCTACAAAATCACTACAAACCAATCTTTTATGAATGAATATCTGTTAATATGGTCTGATAATAATCATATCTAACTTCTTCAAAAAATCATATGTAGCTTAGAAAATTGAGTTTTAGCCATTGTCTTTTCTCTATTGAGATAGTTCTAATTTTTACTCCTATTTTCAGTACCTTTATTAACTTTGCCCTTGTACAATGTCCACTTCTATTATGTTTAAATACTTTTATTATTCAAACTATAGGGATTTCTTTGTAAACCCCATGTTTTCTCTCGTTAGTCTCTCCGTAAGTTCTGTTTAAAAGCTTGTTTTACAGAATATCTTGATTTACTCTCTGTAAATCTTTTTCTCATGTGTTTCAATATATTTCAATTTTATATTTTATGGGCTTTGTCAGATGCCACTCTTACATCTCTCTGTTGCTCTCTAGGTTTTAGGCAACATCATAACAGTGATAAAGCCTGTTGTAAAATCTGTTACAACACAGCAACATATAGCACATTTCCATGTTGCAATCCTATAGTGGTATGCCAGATACTTCACTAGAGATTTGCTATACAGAGTGGCATTCTACAAACCATGAACCTTCTGCTCCAATGGAACTTTTCTAGTCATTGCCTCTAAAAATACCTTTTGTGGATTCTCATTCACTTCCATTTACCCTGAAAGCCAATCCCTTGCTTACATTCTTCAAGAACTCATTTTCATTCCTACTTTTCCCAAGAGGTATTCTCTGATCATCCTTGCTCTCTCATTCTGAAATTTAGTATTATGGTATTTTTCATTTCCCATGTAGCATATACAGCTTAGTATTGTTGCTGTATTTTGTGTGCTTGTGTCATGCCTTCAGAGTTGTATTATAAGTCCATGTAGGAGGCAGTATAAAATGGTGGTTATGAACAGGAACTTCTGAGTTAGATGTTGAATCCTATATTCATCACTGTTTGATCTTAGGCAAGTTACATAACCTCTTAGAGCTTCCACATCCCCAGCAGAGAGTTATAACTTCTATATGGAGTTGTAAGGAAAAAAGGAAGTGCCTAGGTATTTAGCACAGTGCCAGAAACGTAGCAAATATTCATCAAATTGAAGGCAAAGTCAATGCCCGATAATTCTGGGCAATTCTTTAAAGAGCAGAGCCTAGGGATTTTTTCCAAGTTGAGAGCTCGATAATCTATTTGATAATTGAATAAAAATATGCAGCTCGCTACCAGACCTGAGTGTTAACATTTACTTAGTACTTTTAAGAGTTTTATTATGTCAGTTCTTTATATATGCAAAACTCCTTCCAGGGTTACACAGAGAAGTATCTAAATAAATTCCTCACTACCAGGAAAGGCAGAGGAGGTCTGGGTGGTCAGATGGAAAGGGTAGGGGAGACAGAGGGTAGGTTCCATGCTGAGTGTTTTATTTTAAGTCTGGCATTGTTTGATCATGACCAAGGAGTCAGGCAAAGAATACATGTCCTCTAGTTTTCTTTCTATCTGTGGAAAATCTGTTTATATTTTAAGATCCAGAATAAAAGCACTTTCTTTTTTTCCAGATTTTTGAGGTATAATTGACAAACAAAATAGTGTATGTTTAAGGTGTGCAATGTGGTAGTTTTATATATATATATACATATATATACATATATATATATATATATATACACACACACACACATTGTGAAATGATTACCAGTGTCAAGTTAATTTACACATCCATTAACTCATATAGTTACCTCTTTTGTTGTTTTTCTGAGAACATTTAAGATCTACTCTCAGCAAATTTCAAATATACAATATATATTATTAGCTGTAGATTATTATATATGATATATATATTATATATATAATTACCTGTATAGTCACCATACTGTACATTAGATCCCCAGAACTTACCCATCTTATAACTGAGATTTTGCATTCTTTGACCAACATCTCCCCAGTTTCTCCATTCCCCCACTTCTAGTAACCACTGTTCTACTCTCTGGCTCTATGAGCTTGACTTTTTTAGATTTCACATATAACAGATATCATACAGTATTTGTTTTTTATGTCTGGCTTATTTCACTTAGCATAATATCCTCCAGGTTTACCCATGTTATTGCAAATGGTGGCCTTACCTTCATTTTTACAACAAATATTCCATTTTATGGCTAATATTCCATATTTTATGGATAATATTCTATGGATAATATTCCATTCCATATATATGTATATAATATATATGTGGAATATAACACTTATTACATTTTCTTTATCCATTCACCCATCAATGGACGTTTACGTTATTTCTGTATCTTGGCTATTTGAGATACTGATTACATTTCCTTTGGATATACACCTAGTAGAGGGATTACTGAATCATATGATAGTTCCATTTTAAAATTTTGGAGAACTTCATATCGTTTCCCATAATGGCTGTACCAATTTACATTCCTGCCAACAATATACAAGGATTCCTCTTTCTCCACACCTTCCATACCACAGGTACTTTCTTTAGGCAGCTCTTTCTGATTCCTAACCCATAGCATCTCTATTAGATATTTACATTTGAGTTAGTCACGTCATTGCTACTAAATGAAAGTAACATGGTTTTAAGCTTCCTAGAGGTGATTTTCTTCCTTTTTTGTAGTATTTTGTATGTAGTATTTTGTAGTATTTGTATGTAGTATTTTGTACGTAGTATTTTGTAGTATTTGTATGTAGTACTATCATCAACATAATGAGTACAAATAAGATAAAGTTTATGAATGCAATGTTTAAAATATAAAGATTTATAAAAGTACAAGTCGTTCTTATATTAGAGTTACTTTTGTAGAAATATGTATGCTAGTTTGGAGTCTCATAGGCTTCATAAGAGAAATGAGCAGTTTAAACATGGTCTAACACATCATACTCATCTCTCAATTTGTGTAATGAAGAATTGCTATCCAACCAAGAAAATGTGAATAAAGTAATTGAAACAAGTATTTCACAGAACCAATTGACCTATGCTGACATTTTCAAAAAAAATTATGAAAACATATGTGTTTAGTTGCTTGTTGCTGTTAAGAGAAACAAATAGTAACTTAGGAATCAGGTAGACTGTTCCAGTTCTAACACAAACAAGCTTCATGCCTATTGGCGAGCCACTTCACTTGGCCCAGTTTCCTTGCTGTAACCTGAAGGGTTTGCACAGAGTATGTCTAAGGCCTTTACTAGATTTAAAACACAAGGGTTTTCTTATTCAAATGCATAGAATATTTTTGCTCCTTTAGTCTGCATGTATTTTGATAAAAGAGTAAAATTTTTTTCTGTGATTGTAGTCCAAAGGTGGCACCTTAGCAATAAAGTTGTTCCCCTTGTAACACCATCTTATGATGCCTTTTCAGTGCCTTTTGCTGAAAGAGTTGGCTGGTGATGTCTTTGTACCTTGTAGATTCCTGAACCTGCATTTATTATTGTAAGCGGCATCTGATTTCCTTCCTCGTGCCCTCTTCTGCAGGCAGATGAGCCATTCACTTACCAGCTGCAGTCTTCCCCCTTATAATCAGTCAGTGCCTCTTGTCTGAGCCACGATGTGTGACCACAGTCCATAGAGCTGAGGATTTTGTCATGTGTTAAATCTTCCATTCAGGCTTCACTGGAGTGTATTAAGCCACTGAAGGTGGTTAACTGAAGAGGCAAAAACATTAATTTGGTAATTTAATCTTATGAAACAGGAAATGAGAACTCTTTTTTTTTTCAAAAATACAGGAAAATCTTATCAAGTTTCATAACAAAGTCTGTGAAACTTTTATAGATATTGAGATTTATAGCTGGTTTTTGTCTGCATATTCTGGCCTGGCCAGGTGCTCCATTTGCTTTGCTTACTCACTCTTCATGGAGATGTTGCAGGACTTGCTATCACCATGAGTGTCTGCTCTTAACCTGGCAGCCAGCTGAAGCAAGCCCTCAGATGAACACGTCTCATTGTGCTGGCTGACCTCCTACCCCAATGTTCTGACTTCTCCCACGTTGCTAAAAATCTGGAACAACCACTAGTAATCATGGTTGTAAAATAGGGCAGCTGTCCCTCATTTCTCAAAACCTGTTTCACTGTGGACACCCTAGTTATATACTTTTCCATTATTTTCACAGAGTTGATAGTTTGATTACATTTGATTATTCTCTTTAGTCCATCCAGATCTTCCTTCAGTCCCAGTTATATTTACAAATTATTTGGCAAGTCTGTCCTCTTCATTCCCTGTAACTAATGAATCCTTTTCCTAGCTTGTTACTGCTGCTGCTGCCAGGTTGTCTTGAACATCTGCTGATTGTTTCTGAACAGGGAATTACGGGGAGAGCGGAATGGATGCTTTCAAAGAGCTGGCTGCCCAGGAAGGCCTCTGCATCGCCCATTCAGACAAAATCTACAGCAATGCTGGGGAGAAGAGCTTTGACCGACTCCTGCGCAAGCTCCGAGAGCGGCTTCCCAAGGCCAGAGTGGTGGTTTGCTTCTGCGAAGGCATGACCGTCAGAGGCCTCCTGAGTGCCATGCGGCGCCTGGGAGTCGTGGGCGAGTTCTCCCTCATAGGAAGGTAAATCTCAATCTCTCTCTTTCTCTCTCTCTCTTCCTCTCTTTCACACACACACACACACACACACACACACACACACACACACACTTTGGCGCACATATACTTGCTCTCACCAAACTGGACTTCCTGATTCCAAAGCGAGTGAAATGTGCATTCCTTCTGGATCTCACTGAGAGTGGGGCTATTTCTATTTTCATGATAGACAAGAGCAGAGCAGTCGATGACAAGATGATGAGACTATTTCAGAAAAGGTGGGAAGGTTTTGCTAGAATGTTTTGTCCTGGCGAATTATTCTTTTCATTTGCTTCCCCCCTTCCACCCCTCCTCCTCCCAAAACCACATGAATGCTTTTCTCTTCATATTCCTAAGCATAGATATCTTAATGAGGTGTTGGTGGATGGAAAATAGTAGTGAAGATGGAAATACACATTAAGATCTGAAATTTAAAGGGCTAGTTGAGTGCAGGTGAAGACATGCCGCTGAACTCTGGTACTTGATAATATAATATCTTACACTTATGGGATGGCTAATAGTGATGTTTTCAGCATGTAATTTCTGGAATTGCAGGTGGTGGGTTCCAAAGTCTATGTTCTTTCTAAATCATATGTACTTGTGCTGGAATGGAGATTTTCAGTATCATTGTATTTTTCATAGGGTTTTTGACCTAATGGGTATCTTGTTTGATTTACCATCTTCTAATACTACATAAAGGAGCTGATCAATTTTTCCAAGGAACCTACTAAGTTTACTTGAATGAAAGCTTCCACTGATCTCTGGCTCTGTCACACTCATCTTCCAGATCTCTTTTTCTTCTCCATCTTCTCTTTTGGCTAGAGTACAATATTTTCTTACCTTTTGAAGTACCTTAACCAGTGACCCTTTTCTCTAGGAAACTGGGCAGTGGTGGTGTGGATATCCTCCCTGGACCTTTTCCTTCTGACATTGCACTTGTGATAATGACAGCAATGCTAATAAAATTAATCTCACCTTCATCTGGAACTAGAGATACAGGACCTATCAAAAACTTTTGAGTAGAAGGTAGGATAGAAATACAGCTAAATGAATAAAGAAACAGAGAAATGATCTCTAGGCATGAGGAAGTATGAAGTCAAGGTCAAAGTATAATTCAAGATTAAGAAAATTATTGAATTTGGGTGAAATTGGCTCACTGCCATAAAATGTCTTTGGCTTCTTCAACATGATGCAGTTGTGTGAGGCCATTTAAGAAAAAGCATCTCTAAAGAAAGAGTATTTAAAGAAGGAATGTTACTTCCTTCATGAGTGAAAAAGGATGTAAGCAGCATTGTTGAAGTGTTACATGGTATAAGGTTCTTAATATATGCATCAGGACAGGTGGCATATAGATATTCAATCTTTTAATTGATTTTGTAAAAATGACTGCTTTTATGAAGGGTGCTTGTTTTAAAAAGCAATCTCATGTTTACCGTTTTCAAAAGAAGAAAAGTCTGTTTTGCAGGTTTCCTTCTGTTTAATATCCCCAAAGAGAGACTAGCTACCTCGATTCTGGAAATCTCGAACAGATGTAGCAAATATGTGAGCGTTGGGGTATAAAGACTGCCTAATTGTGAAATATATTTATACAAAATACTGCAGTGAGTAATTGGAGGTAAATAACTCATTCTATTATCATTATTTAAAAGCTTGTCAAGAATAATAATGTAAACTTATCTCTGTGGCTCTTGCTTACCTGTTAATAACGCAGCTGAGTCCCTCCAGGTATTTCTGAGTCTCACATGTGGTTGTTCGTGGTGATATCACTTCCTTTACTCCTCTCTTTCTCTACCTCATATCTTCTGGGTTCTACTGATGTATCCTAGAGATACTATCATCACAACAAACACCTGTGCTCCTGAGGACGCTGCTCCCTGTACCAATGGTCACTGCCAATAAAGCATGGAGCCCTGGAGATGTTAAAGCTATGCCACGCAGTGCTTCTCTGACTTTCTGGGCTATATTCCATGAGGGTCTATCAAAATGATATTGGCTTTTACTCTCATATCTTAGAGGATTTTGTGGAAAACAGCCTTTTTTTTCATTCTTTTTTCACAGCTCTCTCCCTTCCCTGGGAGAGATATGAGTCCAGAGGGAGCTGAGCTGGCAATAAAGACAAGTAGTAACACTACAGCATACTTAGTATCAGCTTTTCCTTCAGATGCTTGATTCTCCTACTTCCTGTGGGATGAATTCTAACCCAAGCACTCCTCCGTTCCTCATGCCAATGGACATTTGGTGAGCTTGGTTCCCTAATTTCAGCAGACGTGTCCAGAAGGGTTCCAGTTTAACACCAAGTTGCAACTTCTAGCTACATTTGTAATGCTGTCAAATATATCTCCTTCCTATTTAAAGAAGGTTTAATTTACCAAATGATAAAATCCTTTGAGGTCAGGAGCCATTGTTTAGTTTCTTTCAGAATACATGGTATGATTCTGGATGATGCCAGATTCACAAAAGGGCATTGTGTAGGTGGTGATGGGCCTCTTTTCACAGAGGTGAAGATAAATAAATCATGGTGTAGATTGCAGCAAGAGACATTTAGTTAAGAAAAAAATTAGAAATTCCTGAATGGAGGTTTGTACTTCTTTGCCTCCTGTGACTCCTCTTTTCTCTTACACTTCACATCCAACATAGAAGGAAATGTTGTTGGGGCTACAATCAAAACATATACAGACTTTGACAGCTTAATGCCTTTCTTGCTGCTACCATCCTACTCCAAGCCAACATCATCTCTCACTTGGGTTATGACAATAACCTCCTAATTGATCCTTGCCTTGCCCTTCCCCGCCATTTATTCTTAAGGAAAATGGATCTTTTAAAAATTTAAGTCAGGTAATGTCTTTTAACCTCACACACTGAAAATGGCTTTCCATTTTTCTTATGACAAAGTCCTTGCAATGGCCTTCAAAGTCCCACTTTCTGTCATTGGGACTGAGTTTTTTACAATGGGGTCATAAACTATAATGACAGAAATAGAATTTTTAAATAGAATAGAAAGTTCTTCAAGATATTAAAAATATCCTATATTTAATGAATGTATGTAATGGAAAAACAAAACAAAAGATGAACTGAGAGTTCTTCAACTCTTCCACAAAGTAATCATGTGATCTTAAGTCATGTTTTATCTCCAAGTCTATTTTTTTTCCTATAAAAATTAATGACTTGGCTCCAGATCATCTTTAAATATTTTTCCAGTCCTAGGAATTTATAATATATTAAGACCATATGACTGAACCATGTTCAAAGGAATGTATTTATAGATTCATTTTATCTGAAGTTATTCATGAATTTGGATTAATCAATTTACATATTTCATGAGTCACCTTGTTAAAACAAGGAGAGTTCATTGAATACAACTACTCAGAATTAGTGTCTTAACCTGTGGTCATGCAATTAGCCAGCATATCCACATGAAAATCAAACCTTTGACTCTGAACAAACTGGAATAATACTCTCACCAAGTAAGTTAATTAACCATAGTCAAGTTAATCATCACACAGAAGAACCATTCTTTCTTGTTTCTATGAAATTGCCTCTTTCGAGATCCTTCTCAAAATTGGGCACAGCATATCTATAATTATATTTTACTTATGATGGTGATGATGATGATAACATTTATTTAGGACTTAATGTATGCCAGGCGCTGTTCTAAGCACTTTTTATACATAAACTCATTTAATCGTCATAAAAATATGAGATAGGCGCTAATATTATTTCTGTTTTAATATATGGAGATGTAAAGAACTTGTCAAAAAGTGTCACAGTTGGGATTTGAAGGCAATGTGACTTCAGATTTCATGCTCTTCTTCACTAAGTTATATTGTGTGTGTCAAGCTATGATTGTTTTGTTTCAGAGATACTGTCTTTACCCTTAGTTTTCTTTCAGTTTGCTGTCTCTTCTAGAGATTTATTTCATTGTTTAGACCCACATTCTTTGGAAAAATAAACTGAGGTATGTTCATGAGAAAATTATTTTATATTTCTAATTATTCTCTACATATATGAATCCTTTTCATTTCTCTCTTAGTGTTAAATGTTTTATATGATATTTCAGTAAAGGGGCCATTCTTTTCAAACTCATTATTTTTATTTTAACACGAGACTCCACAATATCATTCTCTATTTGCATACAGTCTATATCTATGGAACTATACCTATATAAAAGCTAATTTGGAATAAGTGGGTGATATTTCTCTGAAATCCTCAGTAATAACTATTACAATTCTAAAAATTAACTGATAGATTTGTTCTAATTCCTATATTGCTCTTTTATTTGAAGAAAGTGAAAATAAGCATGGTTTACATGTGTAAACACATAATAGCTTGAAGTTTTGGTATGTACTAGGTTAATAATATATGATATCTCCAGTCCTAACAACAACTCTGAAAGGTTGATTTGGAAGGTAAAGAAGTTAAACAATTACCCCAAATTCCTAAATTAATCAGTGGTGAAGACAGAGTCAAACTTCCTACTATACCATAGCATCATGCGGATATGTAAATATCGAATTGTAACTTCCTCAATGATAGGAACCACGTTTTATATACTTTTTATTTTCTTATCATGCCAAGTGAAGTGCTTTGATGTGTTAATTATTTAATAACTATGTCAGAAAGCTTGGAGTGTCATAGTGAGAGCAGTTAGCTTAATTGTGTGACCCTGAGTTCCCTTTCATTTTCCAGGATCAGTAAGTTTTACCTAGTGTGGTAAGGGTTGATGTTCTTCAATCAGCCTCTATTTCTAGAATTTTTCCGTAAAATTGGGACTAATATTTGCTTACCCGTCAGGTTGTTGTTTTTGTCTAATCACAAAATGCTTACTTGTCTGTTGAACCAAAGCTAAGCATCAATATTGGGTCCCTCAAAGACACACTATTTTCTGAGGGCGAGTGAGAGCTTTCTGGCTTTAGTCCTATGCCTAGTGTTGGCATTATCCTGGGCCTTTACCCTGCCTTCCTCATCTTGGGAAGCCCTTCTACTAGGTT